AATTGTATGTTCCTAAATCTTGAGACACCTCATATGTAAGCTAGACAGACATTTCACCTGCTCATTACTGTGCACACATGTACTGTATGTACTTAGTCCTAAAGAGCCCTTCTGGTGCCAGTAGATACATAGAAACATCCCAGCAGGCTGTGCTTTGCAAGCATACAAAAAAGTTTCACGCATGTGAAAATTATTTTTCATGCGTGTGCTTCACCTCCGCTGCTACAACTCCATCCTAGGGGAAACACTGCTGTGTGCGTTTTGTGCAACAGGTGGATGTGGTAGTCTACTGGTAGAGTAGAGAGAGAGCTAAGTAGCGTTGAAGTAGAGTAGAGCAGGGCAGAGAGATGGAAGCAAAATATATTAAACCCGGTGTTAATACAGCAGAACTGGAGAGAGGGGTGAAAAATAAATAGAGGTGGGCATGGCTCAAGTAGGGCGCAAAATTATAGACGGAGAATGATTGACAAATTTTTCACTTTAAGCCCTGACACTGTCATTTTTGTGTAGGAATTAAGCTACAATACGTGACATATGTTGTTTTAATTAATAAATACAGTGTGGATAAAGATTACATAACATAAAAATAACTGCAGTCTGTTAAGAAACTCTTAACAGGAGCTGGACACTACCGCGGTGCTGAAACTAAATCAATCGATGTCAGGCACATCGATCACCCACCACTTCATCAGCGCATGTCACACACAGCCTACTTATTTTTCGTCTTATTATTATTTTTCTTCCGCCAGATTTCGGTGCGTAACTTGTGCCACAGCTCTGAGCGCACATAAAACATAATTCAAGATTCAATATGCACAGTAAGGACACGCGTTTACCTGCAGAATGAAATTCGTTCTTTTCTGTCACCAATTAATGCTAAACAATATAAATCTGAAGTATAAAATAGATCAAAATATATACGGTGCGCACTGTTTTAACATCTCCTTACTTTAGTGTAATATTAATGTGCCTGCTGCGGCTGGATCTGTGAGCGTTTGGTTATTAAGAAGACTGTTAAGAGTGGGTCAGCTCGATCTTACAACTCCTTCTTAGTGGAAGATCTTCTTAAGCTCAGAGCGATCTGGGAAACGCGGCCATTATCATGTCAACATACAGGGAACATGTGTCCAGAGTTTATGACATTTACCGGGAGAGCTAGAGCCATTTGACTAAAGCTGACGTTATGATAGCATGTAGGTAGCATGATGTTATTAGGCTAAATACTACATTTCTAACAGTGTCTGAGCTGATTTATTGACACAGCATGCTTGTAGGCTCCTGTAACGTTAGGTTTACAGAGGAAATAATGGGAAATAACGGGATGTGACTTAATCATGTGAAAATATCGTTAGTGGAACAGAAACAAGTGTTAGTTAGGGGACAAGAACCAAGAGTCACAAAGACTCAAGTAGGCTATATTAAAAGTTACTTACAACCGGTGTATTTACTGTATACTTTGTGTCCGGGGTCCTTCGCCTGTGGAACGAGTAACGTGACCACTAACTTGTCCCCAAACGAACGCATGTTTCTGTGAGGCCTATGTGTTTCACTAACGTTCTTTATGTATTATGAAGGATGTCAGACTGGCCAATCAGAGTTGGGCCCAGAGTCACAAACAGCGCATTTCGACTGACACAGAACCAAATCGTCAGAACACCGGCACGGTGCCGGTTCCCGAACCTAATTAAGTAGGCTACTTACAACAGCATGAAAGACAATCTGACATTCTGTTTGTTGTTGGTTATTTCCTTAAAAAACTACGACTTTATTCTCGTAATATTAGGACTTCAATCTCATTAAATAACGACTTTAATCTCATAATTCGACTTTATTCTCGTAATATTATGACTTTTTCTCAGTTATGACTTAATTCTCGAAATCTCCGATTTTTTTTTCTTCAATGTGGCCCTAATACTCCGTCGTAATTTCCAATAGGTCTATATACTATACATTATAATAAAGATATGGGATATAGTCAAGATGGCACCACCCTAGTGGCAGCTGGTTAGTTCCGACCCCCCTTTGTGGATGTGCAGTATGTGTTTCTTAGCGAAGCAGTGGCTAATGTGGCACCTTTCCTGATCTCATAATTACGAGATCTTTTCTCATAATTGTCTAATTGTCTAAAAGTGTCTAATTTTAATTTTTTTAATCCAGTGAATGCAATGCGCTTCCGTAAAATATAAAGACATTAAATCAATGCTCGCGAGTAAACACGGCTCCTTCAACACCAAGCGCACATCCTCTTTCCTCACTCGTAGTCCATGTTCTCTGCATTTAGCAAACATCCACCGGTAACCGTGAAGCTGTCCAGAGTACTGTATTTGGTTGCTAATGAATTCAATCAGGACCGCCAAGTCACAGAATGTTTTTCGACGAAAGTGTCCTCTTGCGTTAAGTAGTCGCTTCAGATGTCTCTCACTACATGAAAACCGTGTTTACTCGCGAGCACTGATTTAATGTCTTTATATTTGAGGCCAATCTCAAAATAAAACTCTATGAGCCTTTCCCACGGGTGAATGCGCTCCATTGTTGCATTTGTTTGCAGTCTCTATGGGCCAAACTGACCTGGAAGTATATTACTTAAAGGAAAGTTTTGCGAGATCTCGCAAAAGTACTATTTTTTTTTTTAACCGTCTATTTTTTTTTCCCTTCCATGTCCCTTTAGGGGCTCCATATAAGTGTGAATAAGTCATGTTATACACGCATGAAATCGCTGAATCAATAAATGACCTTCCGCCAGTACGTCCTCAGTGCCAACCTCCTCACCATACCAGGACCAAGCACCGCACCTAGGGGGACAGCGCTTTCTCTGTTGCTGCCCCCACCCTCTGGAACTCCCTCCAACAACACATCCGCGGCTGCACAGACCTCACCTCCTTCAAAACTGAACTCAAAACATACCTGTTCCGTTCTGCATTTAACTTACAAATTTAATCCATCCTACTTCCTTCTTGCTCTTACCTTATACCCACCTAACTTTGTATTGTCAGCACCCTTATTTGTCTACAACCTTGTCTATACCTAATGCACTCCTGTCTGTAATTTTTTTCCCTCTTTTGTCTGTTGTTTTGCACTTCTGATTGTATTTCCCTGCACTTTTTTATGCCTGTAAAGCGTCTTTGAGTTTTTGTAAAGCGCTCTATAAATAAAATGTACTATTATTGTTATTATTATTATTATTATTATTATTATTATTATTATTATACACCTCCAGAGGATCTCAATGCTGATTGGCTATCGCGGAGTGAATTGGTCGCTGAAGTTCAGATTTTAACTCTTGCAAATAAACGTATGACGCCAAATTGTGCTACTCACTTCATTTGTGCTGCTCAATTCACATATTTTGCATCATTTGCATTGTTCCTACCCGGTGGGCAATTGCGTATGATTGCATCTTTACATTGACTTTACATTAATTTGCCTTGCGAGAATTGTTTTAGCTGTGCCCGGTGTGAGCACAACATAAAAATAACAATCTGAGCCTGTGTCAAAAAAAAGCATTTTAGTGAATGTAAAGTGATGGTGCTCAATTGCCCACAAGAATTACAATGCAATCTGTTTCCCCACTGCTGGCTGCAGCTGTCTCTCTCAATACTGGACCAATTTCAAAATCTGATGTTCCCATTAGAACATGAAAAAATAGGGTCTAGGTTGAAAAATACTGAAGTTACTCTTAAAGACAAATGGCAGACCCCAAACAAAGAGAGCAACAAATGTATTAGGGAAGATAAGCTTTACTCAATTTAAAGGTAGGCAGGAGTCAAAACCAGAGGATCAGACAAAGATTAATATTTATTGCAGTCTTTAGGACACCAACTGTGCTCATGACACAGAGGAATATGGATACACAGACCCCACTCATTTTTTCTCAAGGTATCTGTTGACAATAAGATAAACACAGAGTATCACCAGACACATTGTTTTTAATGTGGCAATATAAATATGAAGTAAAGGACGTGTGTGTGTGTTTGTGTGGATAGCTAGATGTGTTGGAGGAGGTGGTAAAGGCAGTGCAGGGTCGCTGTGATGTCTACCTGGACGGAGGAGTGCGGAGAGGGACAGACGTCCTAAAGGCCTTAGCTCTGGGAGCAAAGGCTGTCTTCATTGGGCGACCAGTGCTGTGGGGCCTTGCCTGTCAGGTGAAGCACTGCACTTATCTACTGTCTCATTAGCTGAAAACAGGAGGTGGGCTGAGAGTCCCAACCTCAAACACTCTGATGTCATATCCATTGAGAAATGACTGTTGGCTGCCACTAGCCCCAACTATTTCAATTGTTTGTGTATGCAGGAGTGGAACTGAACACTTTGGATTTTTGAATACTGAGTTAATATTTGCTTTTTTTGGGATTCACTTCCATAGTACAGTATTTGAAACAGAATGTTTTTTTATGTGTGTTTTTGAACTTCAGATTTTAGTGGTCAAAGTCATAGCATGGAACAAAACAAAGATAGTCATTATGAAAAACTGAGCAAACATGTTATATGCGTGTGTGTGTCCAGGGGGAGCAGGGAGTTACAGAGGTTCTAGAACTTATAAAAGAGGAACTGCGTTTGGCTATGGCCCTGTCAGGTAACACACACACACACACACACACACACACACACACAAACAAACCTACTTTGTTGAAATACCCACCTATAAACTATTCTGTATGTGTGTGTGTGTGTGTGTGTGTGTGTGTGCGCGCGCGCAGGTTGTCGTTCTGTATCTGAGGTGAGCAGGTCTCTGGTCAGGAGACTAGAGTTCACCTCCAGGATGTGAAAGAAGACTCTACAATACATTCCTGATGGATCACTGGACATTCATTTGTCAAATTACCGTAAAACTTTAATAATATTAATAGCCTGGGCTATTATTTGCTTAAGTCACTGAAATCAACAAGCCTTTATTTGGGACAGGCATCCTTATGGTACAGGCCTTTAATTCCTTTCACACAAAACTGTTCATCAGCAAAGATTGGGAAATACAATTGAATTGTTTATTTAAACCAGTATGAATATTACTTGTTTAAAAATTAGGCTTCAGGTGATATATCAATTTCGAATCATTCATTTGATCTAGCTCCGCATCAGATAGAGAGTGAGTTACAGCACTCGAGGATTACCGTACCCGGCATCCCGACATGACACCACTTTATCCTGTTCAAGCAATATTCACAACTTTGGGAAATCAAGGAATGGAGGCATAATTTGAGGTAGCCAACAATCTGGTTTAAAAAAAAAATTGAGACAGGTGTTAATTTGTCAAAATGTGTAGCCACAGCGGGCTAGTAACAGGAACTAGGTGTTTAATTGAAGTTTTGAGGTAATTAACTTTATGTTTGTATTCAGACTTTATTGTAAGACTGGGATGTAATACTGGCCAATGTCTTGTTGTAACTAAATGCAGTGGCAGTAATAAAAATGTATTTTTTAAAAAACTGTGTACAATAAATGCATTTTGTGTCAAAGCAGTGAAATGTGATCGCAGTTCAGTCCACATTGACGTCTGCTGTGCTGTCTGTGTGAAGAGGTTTGAAAAGGTGAACTCAGGAATGCATGTTACCAATGGTCATGGTTACCATTACTCCTGTCAATTACACAGCACCTGACTAAATGTACTGTAGTTACACTGCAGCACTACACTAAACAAAACATTTGGACACATTCTGTCTGGATAAGTCTCAGTTTCCAGCTGTTTCATGCAGCTGCGACAGCAGCTGAGTCAAACCAGGCAAATGTTTGGGGCCCACCGCAAAAAGTGCATGAAAAAGGGATCCCCGATAGCCACTCATTTTGGCACATTTGGCAATGACAACTAAGACATTATACAGTGCACCACTATTGCCCCCAAACCCCCCCCCCCCCCTAAGTGGGCCCCCCCAACATCTCAGTGACAGCTGGATACTGTTTGTTAGGACAGGGCCTTGATGGGCCCCCAGAGTCTAGGATTGCCACTGCTGCTCAGCACCAAACAGCACACAGACAGACAGACGGACAGACAGACAGACAGACAGACAGACAGAGTTGCAGTAGCTGGTAAACAAAGTTGAGCATTTTAGCAGCTGAACAGAAAAATAATAAAAAATGTTGTAAATAAATGAAGATAAATGAAAAGGAAAAATGTTTATCAGTTACCTTGGTCATCTTTCTCCTCTTAATTTCCTCCCTGACTCAACAATTTTTGACACACCTGCAGTGCGAGTGTGGCCAGTGTTGATCCTCTTGGACTTTCTTCCCCTTCCTTAAGGATGTGGTCCTGGACAGAGGTGGTGGTTGAGCAGCAGAGGCAGATAGACCATATGGGGACCTTGAGGTTCCCTGACTTGAGGTCTGCACTTGAACCTCTCGCTGAGGAGGTCCACAAAATTAGGTTGATTTTTTAAAACACAAGTAAGGATTGAGGGAAGGATTCTGTTTTTTTGTTTTTTTTTTGTCAAACTGCTGTTTCCAAAACTTAATCTGAAACCATACTGACCTTGAGCTCGACCCTGTTTAATTTGTCCATGTTACATATGAAACTGCATTTATGTTTGACTGTGAAGTAGGTGTGCTTATGTGGCAGCAATAATGTTCCTGGGTCATTTGGGTGTAATAACATTATTTTAACGCTAGAGGTCTCTGTATGACCACAATGTTTAAATTGTCTCTGGAATGGTCCATGAGCTACTCCTGCATTATTAGAAGCTGAGATACCCAGAGAGGACACATCACAGGGTCTGTGACACTTAAAGGAGAGTTCATTCTCAAAAGAACACTCTGTCAGTTTGGAGAATAGATATTTGGGACAGTTTCTGGACTATTTAGAGTTAACTAATAATGCTCCTGGCCTTGGAAGCAGGTACTAATGTAGATAGTAAGCTGACAGACATGCAAACACTGTTAAATTCATTCCTTGCATTACAAAAGACCAGTGCAGACTGAAACATCCAGTGTAGCATTCTCCCATCTACTTTATCAGAGTTTAAACTAATATTAGCAGCTCTGTCCTTCTCTTTGACTATAATTCTATTTTTACATCATATTTTTCATCATTCAACCCTTTGTCAAACAAAATGTTGTTAGTTTTTGTCACACATTAATAGAATTCTCCAAAATTGAATGTTGTAAAGGGACAGAAATCACGCTGATGTGAAACAGGGGTTGTAATATGCTGTATGTCAACTTTAATAGACTATACAGTATGATGTTCTTCAGTCAGTAGCATACCACATAAATTGGTAGTGCACATCCTAACATTGCTTAAGCTCTTAGTTGTCACACAGTCAGTGCCATGAGAAATGTCTACCAGCAGCTGTTTCCACAAAAATGTCAAAAATAAACAAACAAAAAAACAAGATAAAAATGTGCACAGTAGCTCACTATGGTTTTTATGATATAGTTTGTATTTCCTTACTAAGTGAGGGGAATTCAAATTTCAGTTCGACTTTTGATAAATGAAAAAATTATGAAGTAACAAAACAGCAGCTGTAGTTACATAAAATACAGTTTAATATGAAAAGTAAATACACACACAATGTAACCTGGTGTGTGTATGTGTATGACATCATAGCATTCTTGTTAATGACTATGGATTGAGCTTCTGTTGACCCCTCAGTAGTTCAAAGGGCAGTATTGATCCCTGATGATATCATGGATTTTCTATTCAAAGTTGATTGGCTGATGACTTATTGATTATGTAGAACATGTTGATTGGATGCCTTCCATTGATTGTAGTTGGAAAGGTAGGTCACAGTAATCAGTATAGTCATTTCAGAGTCTTCACAGTCAGGACAAGAATTAGAGAATTATTTAGCATAAAGAGACCTAGTGAGGGGATATGTGACCATTCCACCTGACAGCACCAACAACATGTATTTGTATGTAAACTGTGTTTGTGAATGAAAGTAATCCTGGAACCATTCATTGTCCCAGATGCTGTATCGGTTGTCCTTTACTGTGACACACTACATGGGATAAAATGAGCAATGCTGTTGCTCCTTACCAACACATCTTTTAGGTCAGGCCATTACTGGGCTCATATCATGCGGTCTAACCTCAGCATTATGCTCAGAACCTCAGTCAACAACAGTATTTAATTGGAAATGTGATCTCACACAAATACGTGAAATGACCACGACCTCTTAACCCTGCATTACATGGTGGTGGCAGCACAGTTGGGTTTATGCACCAAAATTCCTTGGTTAGGAAAAAACAAAAATGTTTCTCACCAAAGCTACATTTTACAGCGTTAAATTGAACACATCATTAGAACGTTAAAATTTACTTTCGCCCAATCTTAATGTTACCTAATAGAGCTTGAATGCTTCACAGCATAAATCAATGCAACCTTCATGAGCTGTTTGTTGTGGCTGCTTATAGGTAACGATAACTAGCTCTCCTCCTGCCGATTTCAACACTGATTTTTTTTTTTTCATGTTCTTTCTCTCCACATACACTCTGACACAGAGCTTTTGTCATTTTGACATGATAACAATATAGTGTCTTTTGGGGTTCACGTGAAAAAAGAACCCAACCCAGAAAAAAGGCTTCTCTATTTTTAGCAGGATTTGCTATGTAGTTTTGTTGTCGTGGTCTTATGGAATATTTCAAAAATAATAGTAGTAATAGTATTAGTAAAAATCAATAAAAGATAAGATTGTCCCCCATGGATGACAGCGCCCTCAGCATTCGCCTATACTGCCTATACCACAGCTGGCACTGGGTATAGTATATGGACTAGACCCCTAGTGTTCAACGCGAGAAAATGCATGTCTTTATGAAGTGATAAAAGCAGCACTGCAGAAATGGGCAATGAAAGTTAATTTTGAGTGTTTTTCTCTGCCCAGTCTTGTGGAATATGCACATGGAGCAGTACAGAGACAAAAAACAGGACCAATGATGCATCGTAACAAATGAGTGAGGAAGTTAGCTTCTCTGGTGTGTAGCTAGTTTTGTGAAATATTTTGTTAAAAGACATGTGATGTGATGTGAGCTGAGCTTGACATCGTGTCCTGCCTGAACTAACTAAGGTTATGCTTAATTGAAAACAATGAAAAAATATTTTCAGAGAATTCAAAAGACAAATTGCAGAGGGAATAAAAGATTTTTGGAATACCAGTTAGTTTTACAAACAAACATAGCGACGGCAAAGGATAAAAATTTGCCTGCAAACAGCATGTCCAGATAAAGCTAAAATATGTGTAGCTTTCTGATGGGTCTGTTGATTGTAAAAACCAGTGAAGTCTTTGTGTCACTCCTGTGATCTTAGAGCAGATTTTAACAATGCTGTTTAGACTGTTTCTGTCTTTCAATGTGAGGCTGTGAAACCAGCAAATAAATGTCACAATATCTGCAGTGTTTACATCAAATTTAAGATATTCATCAACAAATGTACCTAAATATTTGTATGAGGTAACCCTTTCCGCAGTTCCATTGTGAATAATGCTGTCTTTGGCTATGTCTCTGTTACGTCTGAAATCAATAATCAACTCTCTAGATTTAGAAAGGTTTAAGTCCAAGAAATTATTACCACACCAAGAAATAAAATCCAAAAGAGCATTCCTATGGTCTGATTCAGATGGTCTGATCCACAGAGAAGGGACAAGCAATGTGATGTTGTCCAAAAACTTGACCAAGTAGCTGCCCTCCTCGGTGCTCCCGCATTGATCAGTATAATGAAAAGGAAGGTTGAAAGAACACAGCCCTGGGGTGAGCCTGTGGACAAAACATCTGAGAGACAGCCATTTACAGAAACCCCTCTGCTCTCTGTTAATTAAGAAGTCCAATGTCCATAATACAAGCTAGAGGGGCAGATTAAAAACATTTATCAGCCTCTCAAGCAAGACGTGGCTGCATCCCCCCAGGTGGCTAATTGTTTACCACATCAAGTGTGTATTATTTTTGGGCCAAGATCAGTCAGTACGTTTACATGACACTTGAAAAAAACGAATTATTGCCTTAATCCGACTATAACTGGACAACTGAAGTGCATGTAAACGCGTTACTCCGACTAATATCGGAGTTCTCCAACTCCAATTAAGACACCCAGATAATGCGATTGGAATTCGATTTTCTCCGGCATGTATACGCCTTAATCGGCGTTAAACTAGACAATGCATGTACGCATGCTCCACACCCCCCGCGCTGGCGTATGACCCCGGAACAGACAAGACATGCTATTGTTGTAGCCCTCCAACAGCATACAGTGTTCTTGTCTGCCTCTCGAAATCACCATGACCACAACGGATAGCGTGCACCTTATCTGCACAATCAGTAACGCGTACATTACGTACGAGATGAACAAAGCTGTACGATTATCCATCTTGCTGTTGTTCGAAAATGCCAGTCTGCTGCCTGACTCCAGTTGTTTATTATTAAGTGACATAATAGGTCAACCGGAAAGGGGACCGTATTAACCTGCTGAAACGACGCATATCGCCACCTAGTGTTGAGGGGGAGGACACGTTCCCGTCAGTAATTCAATTTTCTCAGTT